GTATGTTGGTGGAAGGAATGTCCTAAAATAGCTGGCAAAAATGTGTAGGAGGCAAAATTGTATATGAAAGCTCAGGGAGATGCACACAAAAAGCATATTTTTTTGAAAAAATAAATCACTTGTCGCCCTACAGAAGCAAACTGACCTCACTTGTAGATTATTTAATTTGTCAATACGAATGGAAGGTGTTAATATTGCAGTTGTTGTATAAGGGATTGTTATTTTGACTGGAGTGTAATTGAAATTAATAAGATTCTGGAACACAAAAATAAAGGAAATCGTCAAACCATCAATTCTAGCACCTAAATTATATAATTTGGGATTTGAATGATTGGTATTAGTAATTGTATTATAATTTGGCATTGTTATAATGAGGCTATTATTGGAATGTAATTGAAAGCTAATAAAATTATTATCAAAAAAGAAAGAAAGAAACTGAGCTTAGAATTGGAAAAATGGAAGAAGATTGGAAGAAGTTTAAGGAATATTTGAAAAAAAATGTTAATATTTAAATCTTAGAATAGCTTTGGAAGTGGGTATAGGCGGTAGGGTTAGAAGTAGAAGATAGTGTATTTTATAAGTGATAAAATGTGAAGTTTTTTATGGTTAAAATAAGGGGGGGGGGAGATGGTTAGAAATGATTATATATGTAAACTGCTAAAGATGAAGTAAAATGAAAATCAGATAGGTGGGACTTGGGGAAGCCCACTTAACAATGTTTAGAAAAATAAGGATATGACAAGAATTTGTTTGTATTGTTTGTCTTTTCTGTTTGTGTTTTTTATTTGTTATAAAATGAATAAAAAAATTTGGGGGGAAAAAGAATTATTGAAGGCAAAATAGTACAATGGGTTTAGTCGGAAGTTTCTTTTCTTTCACTGATTTTCACTCTATATGCAACTATGTTCTTTTCTTTTTTTCTTATAGAATGCTTGTATTGTATGTTTGTTTTGTGTGTATTTTAAGGTATTTTCTTGTTTAATAAAGTTTATTTTTTAAAAAAACAGAATTGGAAAAAACGAGAAACTGAAACTATCACTTTTTCACAGCGCTGAACCCTGGCATGCTTTTGAACCGGAGACTGGACCTCAAACCTTCTGCACTCAAGGCATGTGGGAACAGAAGAAGCAGCCTAATACTGAGCAGCGGCTCTCTAGAGCTTCGGTCAAGAAGTCTTTCGCGGCCTCCCCGTTTGGTAAGGTGAGGCAACTGCCTCAGGCAGCAGGATTCACAGGGCAGGAGATCCAGCCTTCAAGGAATGCCTCGCCCACTGCCGTGGCTGTGGAAGCAGCAACAGCTGCGGCCCTCTCTTTGGAGGCCCGATCCGCCTACTCCTTGGTAGCCCTGGGATCTTCTGCTGGCAGAACATGTGCTCCTCCATGTCCCTGTCTGCCCCCCACTGTGTTAGATCTTTCCTTTGTTGGGCTTTAGAGAGCAGCCTCCTCCTCAAAGGGCTTGTTTATTGAAAACAGAAGCCCTAAATCAAACCCTGCTAGTCTGCAAACCACTTCAGAGACTCGCTTTGGTGGCCTACACTCCCGGAGCCAGGAAGAGGGGGGGTGTCTTTCTGTTTTCCATTCTTTGCAATGTAGCTTTGGCGCTTCTGAAGATTTATGTGGCGTGTTCTTTTCTGGGGGTTTTATAGGATCTTTGATCAGCCGCTTATGCTTGCACGTGGTGTCAGTCCACTCAGATATGTGGAATCAGGACTTCAAGACTCTCGCTAGTAAACAACACTATTCCCCCCAAGGCGAGGTGTCAGTGGGTCGTAAGACGTCCTCGGGGGGCAAGGAAGATGCTCTTCAGGGTGATGTTTACTGTTGGCTTAATATCGGGTTGGGCCATGGGCAGATGAACTAGACCTCTTAGAACAGTACAGTGGTACCTCAGGTTAAGAACTTAATTCGTTCTGGAGGTCCATTCTTAACCTGAAACTGTTCTTAACCTGAAGCACCACTTTAGCTAACGGGGCCTCCTTCTGCCGTTGCACTGCTGCCACGCGATTTCTGTTCTCATCCTAAAGCAAAGTTCTTAACCCGAGGTACTATTTCAGGGTTAGCGGAGTCTGTAACCTGAAGCATCTGTAACCTGAAGCGTCTGTAACCTGAAATGTCTGTAACTCAAGGTACCACTGTAATGGGGAAGAGAAAGAAGAAGGAGGAGGAGGAGGAGGAGGAGGAGAGGAAGAAGGAGGAGGAGGAGAAGGAGAAGGAGGTGAAGAAGAAGAAGAAGAAGAAGAAGAAGAAGAAGAAGAAGAAGAAGAAGAAGAAGCCGCCATCTGACTGGGTTGTCCCAGCCAATTGGAGCGCTCACATGCCAGTGTTTCCCAATTGTTGGTGTTTATATTACATTATTTAAGATTTGCCTTGAGATAGCCTTTAACCTCTTTTGTTGACCACTGGCATTACGCTTTCCATTTTAAAGTTTGGAATAGAGTAGTTGCTTTGGAAGACGATCATCAGGCATCCGCACAACATGACCAGTCCAACAAAGTTGACGTTGGAGAATCATTGCTTTAACACTGGTGATCTTTGCTTCTTCCAGTACACTGATATTAGTTGCCTGTCTTCCCAAGTGATGTGTAAAAAATTTTGGAGACACCGTTGACGGAATCTTTCGAGGAGTTGGAGATGGCGTTTATAAGTGGTCCATGTTTCACAAGCATACAATAAGGTTGGTAGTACAATAGCAAATATTACAATAGTGATATGCAATGCCAGGCTCAGCTGGTGTCTGAAGCTTTGTTGATGAAGGCAAAGGGAGTCACCAGGGAAGGAAGACAGATAGGAAAGGGGGGAGAGACCTTTTTGAGGGGCCAGGGAGGGTGGTGGCAGCTATATCCCTATGTGAGTGGGAAATGATCCTGTGTGAACTGTCAGCACCAACTGCTGATAGCAGAAAGGCCCATCAAGGAATGGGTTAGGAGGTGCTGTGGACAAGGAGGTCATGTTGGTTAATTTCTTTCAACACATTCTGGCCCAGGGAGACATTGAAAGAGCATGTCTGCTTCCCACACCTATGAAGAGAAAGGGGCATGCTTTGAGGGATCCAGTACAGTGGCGTAGCGTGGGGGGTGCAGGGGGGGCCGGCCGCACCGGGCGCAACATCTGGGGGGGGCGCGCTCGCACTCGCAGCTCTCTGCCCCTACCTGGCTCACTCACTCACTCTCACTGCAGTGCTGGCTGTGCGAATCCGATCTGAGCCGCTGGGTCGCCGCCCACTGTGGAGGGGGTGGGTGCCAGGCGTGCGGTGCGGAGAGAGAGCGAGGGACTATCTGGGGGAGGGACAGTGCGGTGGCCGCCCAGTGCAGCGCTGAGCGCGGGAGAGAACGACACCAGACCAGCCCAGGCAGCAGCAAGAAGAAGCTGGCAGCGGCGGCAGGTTAGGGGTTAGGGGGTGCAAATTACTTGCCTTGCCCCGGGTTAGGTGGCGCAAATTACTTGCCTTGTCCCGGGTTAGGGGGCGCAAATTACTTGCCTTGCCCCGGGTTAGGGGGCGCAAATTACTTGCCTTGCCCCGGGTGCTGACAACCCACGCTACGCCGCTGATCCAGTACAGAGCTCTGAAAAGTCAATAAACACCAGCTTCTGCAAGATTCCCCCGACAACCTAGTACACTTCACAAGAACATATACTGAGAGAGATCCTTGGTCCCTCTAGTTCAGTATTGTCAACACTGACCGGCAGGGTTTCCAGAAGGGGTCTCTCTCAGTTCTACTTGGAGATGCCAGGAATTGAAATTTGGGACCTTCAGCTTGCCTAGGAGATGGGCTGGGGACGCTCCAGATGTTGCTGGACTACAGTTCCTATCATGCCTGACCATTGGCCATGTTGGTGGGGCCTGGTAAAAGTTGGGGTCCAGTCCCATCTAGAGGGTCAAAGGTTTCAGGCTTGCTCTACCACTATGCTGTGGGCCTTCCACTCCAGTTACAATATATTTCATTTTATATACCTTTCATTTTATATACCTTTCATTTTATATACCTTTATACACCTTTAAAGCCCTATACGGCCTAGGACCCTCGTACCTACGGGACCGCCTCTCCTGGTATGTCCCACAGAGAAATTTACGGTCTGCAAATAAAAACATCCTGAAGATCCCAGGCCACAGAGAGGTTAGGCTGGCCTCAACTAGAGCCAGGGCTTTCTCGGCCGCGGCTCCAATCTGGTGGAACGCTCTGTCACAAGAGACTAGGGCCCTGCGGGACCTGACATCTTTCTGCAGGGCCTGCAAGACAGAGCTGTTCCACCAGGCCTTTGGTCAGGGCGCAGCCTGACCCCCTCCTCTGGCAATCTGCACAGAATTTTGCTTAATGGTTGCCATCAATTTGATTTAATTTGATTTTAATTAATTTTATAATGAATGTTTTTAGAATGTTGGATTATTTTAATTGTTGTTAGCCGCCCTGAGCCCAGCTTCGGCTGGGGAGGGCGGGATATAAATAAAATTTATTATTATTATTATTATTATTATTATTATTATTATATACCCTCCAACATTTCTCCGATGAAATTAGGCACATCCTATTCTATAATAATAATTTTACTATTTATACCCCGCCCATCTGCCTGGGTTGCCCCAGCCACTCTTGGCGGCTTCCAACATACATGAAAACGTAAAACATTAAACATTTTTAAAAATGCTTCCCTCTACAGGGCTACCTTCCGATGGCTTGGGGGGGTCAGATGACTCCATATCCTCCAACATTTTTCCAATGAAAATAGACATGTCCTAAGGGAATGCGGGACATTCCGGGATCAAATCAGAAACTGGGACTGGGCTTCTGTAAATCTGTGGCTGTCTCTGGAAAATAGGGGCACTTAGAGGGTCTGATTTTATTCACAACAGTGGGCTCCATCTCAGATTTGCCAGGTTCTGCCTTCCAGCCTTTCTCTTGTGTAGGGAAGGGCTAGTTCTGATAATCAAAACAAGGGAATTAAAGCATCAAGATGCAGAAAAGGGCTTTGGAATTCCAGGTAAGGGATGCTCACCGCCCCACCTGGAGATGCCAGGAATTGAACCAGGAACCTTCTGCATTCAAGGCGCATTTTGAACCACTGAGCTACAGCCCTTGCCCAATAGGAACATAGGAAGCTTCCTTATACTGGTTGCTGTGGACAATACTGGGAGGAGGCCACAGGGGGCAGTTGCCCTGGGAGCAAAATTGTTAGGGGCACAAAATTTCAACGCCTGGTGCTGCCTCAATACAGTTTGTGTCCTTGGGCTCCGTTGAAAATGGCATCTCCATGTGAACCAGGAAGTGGCCTTCCCAGACAATGGAATGACTCATCTGTTCTTTTCCCTTTTTAAACTAATTTTTATTAGCTTTTACATATTTTTATCACCTTTACATCATTCACATAACGAAGAGTAAAAATAACACTATCCTCATAATATTATTATTAACCCCCCCCCCCCATCGACTTCCCTCAACTTCTGGTTTTTTACTGAAAGATTTCTCCTGCATATTTTGTTATTCTTAAATTGGAATCTAATATATTTATTGTTGTTTTGAGTTCAATGCTGTATTTTCCATATTTGCTTCGGTAATTGTAAATGTGTAATCGAAACCTGCTAATGAGTTCATCTCTCTACATTGTTTCTGTAGATCCGTGGTTCCCAGTCTTTCTTATCTCGTAGTCTTCCAGTTAATTTTGCCATTTCAGCGCTGAAATGACTCTTCTTTTCTTATCTCTGTGGCTGCGAACTCCTGGGAGACGTGGATGCCATTAGGCAATTGAATGTGCATGCGTACTCTGTCCATTTCCCTCCCTCCCTCCCTCCCACCCCTCCATGCAGCCCTGGGCACTGGCAACCCGCGTTATGCCACTGCCACTTCAAGTGCCGTGCAGTGATTTATTTATTTATTTTTTGTAGGGGAACAGTTAGGGGCAGAGGCCCCAGCATGTGAGGGTGATGTGTGGGGGGGGGGTCTACGTCACACGCGTAAGCATTGAGCCTCCCTCCCAAAGCCCGGCAGAAGCTTTCCAGGCTTTGGGAAGGAGGCACTATGCTTTAATACTTTAATACTCTGATTTACCAGGAACATTTAGGGAACTAGCCTAGTCCCCCTAGTCCACTGACTGCACACCGCTGGTGCTTCCCATGTTCTAGAATCATAGAACTGTGGAGCTTGGTGAGTTTTTACAGCTGGAACGGACCACAAGGACCGATGGACTCGAATCACAGCTAAGTGATTATTCTAGTCTAGAAGAGCTATAGAATCATAGCCTTGTAGAGTTGGAAGGGACCCCTGTTCATCAGTATGCAGATGACACCCAGCTCTACCTCTCTTTTAAATCAGAACCAGTGAAGGCAGTGAAGGTCCTGTGTGAGTGCCTGGAGGTGGTTGGAGGATGGATGGCGGTCAACAGATTGAGGTTGAATCCTGACAAGACAGAAGTACTGTTTTGGGGGGACAGGGGGCGGGCAGGTGTGGGGCACTCCCTGGTCCAGAATGGGGTAATTGTGCCCCTGAAGGACCAGGTGCGCAGCCTGGGAGTCATTTTGGATTCACAGCCTTCCATGGAGGAGCAGGTCAATTCTGTGTCTAGGGCGGCTGTTTATCAGCTCTACCTGGTACGCAGGATGAGACCCTACCTGCCTGCGGACTGTCTCGCTAGAATGGTGCATGCTCTAGTTATCTCCCGCTTGGACTACTGCAATGCACTCTACCTTTGAAGGTGACCCAGAAACTGCAATTAATCCAGAATGCGGCAGCTAGACTGGTGACTGGGAGTGGTGGCCGAGACCACATAACACTGGTCCTGAGAGATCTGCATTGGCTCCCAGTATGTTTCCAAGCACAATTCAAAGTGTTGGTGCTGACCTTGAAAACCCTAAACGGCCTCGGTCCTGTATACCTGAAGGAGCATCTCCACCCCCATCATTCAGCCCAGACATTGAGATCCAGCACCGAAGGCCTTCTGGGGGTTCCCTCATTGCGAGAAGTGAGGTTACAGGGAACCAGACAGAAGGCCTTCTCGGTAGTGGCGCCCGCCCTGTGGAACGCCCTCCCTTCAGATGTGAAGGATGTGAAGGAAATAAGCAGACATCTGAGGGCAGCCCTGTTTAGGGAAATTTTTAATATTTAATGCTGTATTGTTTTTAACACTCGATTAGAAGCCGCCCAGAGTGGCTGGGGAAACTCAGCCAGATGGGCGAGGTATAAGTAATAAATTATTATTATTATTATTATTATTATTAAATCTTTCACTCAGTATGGGGCTTAAACCCACGACCCCGAGATTAAGAATCTCATGCTCTTCCAACTGAGCTATCTCTCAGGACAAAAAAAGAGGGATCCCATCCATGCCTCCTTAGCCTGCAGAAGGTCCCATTTTCAATCCCTGGAATCTCCAGAACGCTGTTCAGAACTCTGGAGATCTGCTGCCAGTCAGTGTAAACACTATTGAGGTAAATGGGCCAGTGGTCTGGCTTGGTACCAGACTGTCTCCTATAGTCTTCCATTATGAGCGCTGAGCATCTGCCTCCGCTTGGCTCTGATGGCCCTCATGCCCACTAAAGGAGCTATGAATTATGTCTTCCCAGGTGCTATAGAACCCCCTACGCCAATGTTTTTGTGGTCCCAAGCAGACATCAGATCCGACCGAGCCCGTGGTGGACATCCATATGTACCATATTTTTCGCTCCATAAGGCACACCGGACCATAAGGCGCACCTAGCTTTTAGAGGGGGAAATCAAGAAAGAAAATATTAAAGAAGCTATAGCCACGCACAGCCTCTCCCAGCCGGAGGGGCTGCGCGCGGCTATGGCAATACCCCCGCAAAAGCCCACAGGAGCGCACAGCCTTTAATGAGCGTGCGGCTCCTGCGGGCTTTTCTACGAGGAGGGAGAAGGGACTGACTGGTCGCGTCAGTCCCTTCTCCCTCCTGGGGAAAAGCCCTCAAGAGCCGCACGGAGCTTGTGTGCGGCTCTTGGGGGCTTTTCCTGCCTGCCTCCCCCCTGCATTCGCTCCATAAGACGCACACACATTTCCCCTTACTTTTTAGGAGGGAAAAAGTGTGTCTTATGGAGCGAAAAATACAGTATCTTCTGGCCTGTGTTCCACCCAATGAGTTAAAAGAGGCACACGTCTGCCTTGGCACCCCCAAAAAACAATGCAGGAGATCTCCATTGCTGTTAGAAAGAAAAGCGGGGAGAGATTCGATCCAGCCCTTCTCCTCCAAACACAGCTGTTGTCTGAAAGAGCTTCCAGTTCTTTGTGGTTAATTATGAGAGCATCTGTGTTCAATATCTTGTCAGGGAGGGAGAAAGCATCGCACCCCAGGGCAGTCAACTTTGTCATAAAACCGCACAGCGGGAGAGCAACTGCGGGTGAGTAAAGGGGCAGTTTTATCTGTGGGTTATCGTTAAACATCCTAACTGAAATGCCATCGGATTGGCCCACTCGGCAAGCCGTATTTTTCTATGAGTTGCAGAGCTCTCAATTCTGAACGCTACTTTTTTTGAGATCAGGCTCCGTTCATGGAGACCCATGGAAACCTCCACCCAGCTCACTGCTCTGAAAAGCAGGCACCATTTACATGACAAAAGACCCTCGCCAAAGTGGTGGCCCCTTTGGGTCTAGCTGTCACAAAGTGAAGCAAGTAGTCATTGGATCCAGTCTTTGTAATATTTGGAATATTTTAGAGCTGTCACCCGATGTAAAAAACCACAGTTGATTAATCTGTGAGTGTTAGTTGATTAATTGGTTGCATGTGTGTGGGTTAAAGCTAGTGAGCTGGCATCACACGTTCCTGGAGATGTGGCCACAGTGACGCACACCTTAGTTACATCCCGTTTGGATGACTGTAACACAATCTACGTGGGGCTGCCTTTGGAAATTGCTCGGAAACTTCAATTGGCTCAAAGAGCTGCAGCCAGACTCTTGACTGGGGCTGGTTATAAGGAGCTGAAGACTCCCTTGGTACAACAACTCCACTGTCTATCAGTCTGTTTCTGGACACAATTCAGAGTGCTGGGTGTGACCTAGAAAGCTCTACTTGGCTGAGGTCCAAGCTACCTGAAAGACCATAATCCCTCATATGAACCCTCCCAGGTTTTGAGATCTTCAGGGGAGGCCCTTGTCTCGGTCCTGTCAACCTCGCAGGCACCCTTGCTGGGGAAACGGGACAGGGCCTTCTTAGTGTTGGCTGCTCCATAATAAGTTTGGAACTCCTTGCTAGAGAAGTTGGAGTGGCTTCCTCTTTGCTGCCCTTTGGCCAGCAGGTGAAGACCTTTCTATTCCAGCAGGCCTGTTGCTTTTTGTTGTTGTTGTTGTTTTAAAGAAGGGGCTTTTAAATAGTGCTGTGCTGTTTTTACAATCTGTATCTACATGTATCTATCTATCTATCATCTGTCTATCTATCTATCTATCTATCTATCTATCTATCTATCTATATCTATCTATCATCTATCTATCTATCTATCATCTATCTATCTATCACCTATCTATCATCTATCTATCATCTATCTATCATCTATCTATATATATATCATCTATCTATCTATCTATCATCTATCTATCTATCTATCTATCTATCTATCATCAATCAATCTATCATCTATCTATATAGCTATCATCTATCTAGCTATCTAACATCTATTTGTCTTGTTTTAATAAAGGCAGAGGGCCTTCTCGGTGGTGGCACCCGCCTGTGGAACACCCTCCCATCAGATGTCAAGGAAATAAACAACTATCTGTCTTTTAGAAGACATCTGAAGGCAGCCCTGTTTAGGGAAGCTCTTAATGTTTAATAGACTATTGTATTTTAATATTCTGTTGGAAGCCGCCCAGAGTGGCTGGGGAAACCCAGCCAGATGGGCGGGGTATAAATAAATTATTATTATCATCATCATCATCTTTGGACTCTTGCCATTCTTGAACTCGTCCCCTTGCACACCTCTGGATTTAGAGGCTGTTAAAGGAAGCAAGCTGCATTGAACCCCGGCAGACTTTGCTCAACCAAGATTGAGCTTGCCACCCATATTAAACTGCAGCTCTATTTAAGGCCCAGTCCGTTACTGAAGCAACGTTTTTTGAACCTGATTGCATGACCCTTCAGCACCACGTGGAGCTGTCCAGGGTGCTGCCTGGACTTTGCCTTATCAAAATCTGGCCTCTGCTTTGCCTTATGGGAAGCTGGTCTTGGACTGGCTTGACTTTGCCTGGCTCCCCTTGCCAGAACCTGAACTTGCATCTAGCACTTCTCCAAGTTTGGGCTAGAACCTGATCTATCTGAGGCAGCCACCTGGGACAAAACAGCTTGCCGGACACAGCTTTCAGTGTGTGTGTATAAAAAAATAAAATAAGTGCATAACTAATCAGATTTATTTAAGATGGCTTGGTTAAACATGTTGACTTCTCTCTTCTTCCTAACTCTGCATTCAGGCAGCACTTTGTTCCATCTTTGCAATGGTTCCTCATCTGTTCATTTTTGCATTTTATGTGATCTTTTACATGATGTAAAAACAGTCACAAAATTAAAAGATGACTGCTTCTTGGGGGAAAAGCAATGACAAACCTAGACAGCATCTTCAAAAGCAGAGGCATCACCTTGCCAACAAAGGTCCATAAAGTTAAAGCTATGGTTTTCCCAGTAGTGATGTATGGAAGTGAGGGCTGGACCATAAAGAAGGCTGGTCGCCGAAGAATGGATGCTTTTGAATTCTGGTGCTGGAGGAGACTCTGGAGAGTCCCATGGACTGCAAGAAGATCAAACCTATCCATTCTGAAGGAAATCAGCCCTGAGTGCTCACTGGAAGGACAGATCCTGAAGCTGAGGCTCCAATACTTTGGCCACCTCATGAGAAGAGAAGACTCCCTGGAAAACACCCTGATGCTGGGAAAGATGGAGGGCAGAAGGAGAAGGGGATGACAGAGGACAAGATGGTTGGACAGTGTTCTCGAAGCTACCAGCATGAGTTTGACCAAACTGCGGGAGGCAGTGGAAGACAGGAGTGCCTGGCGTGCTCTGGTCCATGGGGTCACAAAGAGTTGGACATGACTAAACAACTAAACAACAACAAAATCCACTTCTGGAAATCTAGTGGAAACTTGCTGAGGGGGTTTGGACAAATGACGCTTGGGATCCCTTCCTACTCTGCAATCCTATGATTCTAAGTTTTGTGCTAATATCTGTGTTCATTGTTTCCAGAAGAAATAATCTCTTTGTAACCTTATTGACTTGGGAAATTGTGGGCGTTCTGCCCTGATGAAATTTGGGGAGGCACAATTAATGGGGGGCAAGGTTTTGGAGTAGGGATGGGGCACCTGTGCCCCTCCAGATTTTGCTGAACTCTCAATACCCATCCGTCCCAGACAGTATGACTAATGGTTAGAGACTGTGGAAATTGTAGTCTAGCAATATCTCAACTACATCCATATCTGGGGGGGCTACAGGCCCCACACCAGAGTTTTAGATAATTCACAGTTAATGCAACCAACTGTTCAATAGCAGTAGCACTTTAAATGCTCGATGTTTAATTTGGGAGTTGTGGTGGTAAATTTAACATTGAGTGCATGATTCAATATTGAATGATCATCCGAATGTGCTACACTCGTTATTGTTGCTTTTAATTTATATATTCTGTTTTTGTTACTATGTCTGAGGCAAGTGATGAATGAATGCATAAAATATGGTGGAGGTTTTTATTTCATAGTCCAAAAAGCTCCCTGGAGTCTCATTGCTCCCTCCAAACCGAGTATGTAGCTCTCTGGTCCAGAGGGATCCGCCATAATGTCTTTTTTAAAAAAAATTAAAAACACACAACTATTGAAAGCGAACCAAATTTAAATCATTAAACCAGATGAAATGCAGAGGGATTAGCTCTTCAGTCCATCTGGGGCACATCACTCCAGAATTTTCCTCTGCTTCTGTATGATTGACACAAATTTGCTGGCAGGAAGAGGGAAGAAGCTGCCTGTGAACTGGGGCCTGAAATCCTCTCGCAATCGCCATGGTTGCCATCTGAAAACCAGCCAGTCTGGAGTAGGGGAGGGGGGAGATTCTGTTTGGTTGCTGCGGCAACGGCATCCCAACGAACCCACAAAATTGCTCGGTGTGGTGGGGCCAAAGAGCGGAAACCCGGAGCCCTGCGCAGAAAGTCTTAGGACGCCAGTGCGTTTTCCAGCCGCGTCCTCACAAGACATTACCTCAGCAGGGCCCATTGAAAAAACACAGTGGCATGGAAGCTGAGGAATATAGGTAGGGAGGAGGGTCAATGAGCCCTGTGCCAAGATTTCTATTTTCTTGGGGTGAGGAGAGAGAGAGAGCCTGAATCT